GGAAAAGGTGGGGTATAAAGGAAGCAAATGATAACATTGTCACAGAGGATTGGCTTCGACTTAGGAAAGGTGTACTTTGTATTTTGCTCGGGGTGGCAAAACGCCCTCAAGCAGCTCTGGTAATCAATCTCACCCCTGGTGGAAACTTAGTCCGGTGGCCTCTGGCAGGCCTCTCCCTCAGTCCCGGCCTCCTACTCACCTACCTTACCAAGCTGTTGTAAGGATAACAATGAGGCAGCGAGCCTCTCGGAAGGTCGGCATGTTGGTTTGCAGTCGAACAGAGTTGGCTTATAGTGGTTAAGAATGGTGGACTCTAGTCTGGAGAGCTGGGTTCGAGTCCGCACTCCTCCGCATGACGCTTGGGCCGAGCTTGGGCCAGTCACAACCAGTGTTCCCTCTAAGCTGAGTTAGTGTGAGCTAGCTCACAGTTTTTTAGCCTCCGGCTCACACATTTTTGTCTTCGCTCAGGAAGGAGGGCTCCAGAGCCAACTCATTCATGCAGTAGCCAAATCACTCACTCACAACTTTAATGCCAGTAGCTCTCAAAGCAGAATTTTTGCTCACAAGACTCCACAGCTTAGAGGGAGCATTGGTCACAACTCTTCCAGAGTTCTCTCAGCCCCGAAAATAAGTCTAGCTTGCCACCTAGTGGTTTTTGTTCTTGCTGTTCAGTCGCACAGTCGAGTCCGACTCTTCGCGACCCCATGGACAAGATCCAGGGAAGTCGTGGAAGTAGTGACAGACTTCCCGTTCCTGGGATCCCAGATCACCGCAGACTGTGACAGCAGCCATGAAATTAAAAGACGCCTGCTCCTTGGGAGGAAAGCGATGGTGAACCTAAACAGCATGATAAAAAGTAGAGACATCATCCTGCCAACAAAAGTCCGCATGGTCAAAGCAATGGTATTCCCAGTAGTCATGTATGGCTGCGAGAGTTGGACTATAAGGAAGGCCGAGCGCCGAAGACTAGATTCTTTTGAACTATGGTGCTGGAGAAGACTCTTGAGAGTCCCTTGGACTGCAAGGAGATCAAATCAATCAACCCTGACTGTTCCCTGGAAGGCCAGATAACGAAACTGACGCTCAAATACTTTGGCCACCAAATGAGAAGGGAGCACTCCCTGGAGAAGACCTAGTGGTGCATAATGCTAAAAGAGTTAGAACGTAAGGCTGCCAGACAATCTTAGGGTTTCCTGGCTATACTACACACGGTGCCATACAGTCATTATTAGTTATTACCTGAACCTCTTGTTGGTCGCTAGGGTGCTACTGAACTCGTATCTTAACTGTTTTTCTGCTCCAGCTCATATTCTGATAGACAATTCTCTCCCCCCCCTTCTCCCTTACCCCCAGTATTGTTTGCCAGCTTTTTGCTCTCCTGTTTTTCCCCAAAGTTTTCCTGCTTTTTCAGACCTCCACAAAAGTGGTCTGGGGGAAAAACATGCTGAAGAAGCAAAGAAAAACTGGGAGAGCAATGACGGAAAGGATTCAGTATGTAAAGAAAGGGGGAAACGGATGCTGTTAAGAAGTGAAACTGTAGCAAAAACCCAGTGCAGAACAGCCCAATTGTTATGTCCGCTGACCGCCACCAAGGGCCAGCGAATATCCCCGAGCTTGACTCTGTAGGAACAATGGAGACTAGGCTCCTAGTCTCTCCACTTGGGAACCATAGGACCATGGCGGGAGATTTAAACCCACCAACGAGACCTAGGGGTGTGTCCCCAGGTGTGTATATAGTTAGCCAGATGGCCAGTAGTCTTTGTCTTTGTTGTGTACTAGTAAACCATGCTAATCACTGCATCCGTCTCAGTGGTTTCTACATGCATCTATCCCACTACACTTCACCAATGAATGTGAAGCAGTGGCTGTTCTGAAGAAGAGTTATCTTACAAAGGAATTTCAAAGGGAGATTAGACAGACAAATTGCTGAATTGCAACTGATAACAAAGCTCAAGACAATGCATCCACTTGGACTGAATCAAGACCTAGGTTTTCTCTCTCGTTACCAGTGCTGATTTGTCCACACTGACTACCCCTCGGCATTTCACAACTAATCCAGTCATGCCTGCTATTGTCATTTGCCTGCTAATATCATTCAGCATCTGAAATCACTCCACAGCCCTTTTCACATTACCATTCTAAACCGGATGTTGTTTGTTGTTGGCCCAATTTCGAGTTAAGCGATACAGGGATGGGGGGGGGGTTTCATACAGCGAATTTCCTTCCGTTAACGAACCGTCCCTGAAATGCTACGCTCATTTCAAAGAGTGCCACTTTCCCCCCTGCCTTTTTTTCGCCGCTTGATCTTCCTCAGACTTTAAAAAAACATTCTAAGGTGAGTGCTATAGCGCTAAATTGCTATAGCAGCAGCATTGAGATGGAGTTAAGGCCTCTCAACAGTGCTGCTATTGTACGTCAGTGTTATAGTGGTTTAGCGCTATTGCGCTCACGATTGAACGTTTTGAAAAAGTCCGAGGAAGATGGCGCAGTGAAAACGGGCAAGGAAAAAAGCAGTACTATAGGAGGCACTATGGACATTTTAAACAGCACACCACAGCGATTCAGAAGCACAACGAAGGGGTTGAAAATGAGGAAAAGCAGTTTCCCTCAAAAGCAGCCCAAGCATGCTTTGCTAGCCTGACGCAAGCGGGTTTATATGAACAGATAAATAAATTCCACTAGCGGCCAGTTACTAAAACGGTTCTGTCTGAAATGACAGGGGGAAAATCTATTAGCAACCAGTTACTAAAACGAAATGCAGTTTGAAAAGGGTCTGTGCTTTCCCCCCAACCTATGGCATGTTATTTCAGTGTTTCAAGGACCAGGTTGGTCATCTCTGGCCTGGGGTCTCCCAAGTCCCATTCTGCGATACTTATGGGCTCGCCAGCCGTCACAAGCTACAACAAAGAACTTTGCACTAAGATGGATTGAAGTTGTGTAATAGAATTCTGCAAACAAATTTGACACAATTGGTTTGACTGCCAGGCAGGGTTCCCTCTAAGCTGAGTTAGTGTGAGCTAGCTCACAGATCTTTAGCCTCCGGCTGACACATTTTTGTCTTAGCTCAGGAAGGATGGCTCCAGAGCAAACTAATCTATGCAGCAGCCAAATCTCTCACTCACAGCTTTAATGCCAAGAGCTCACAAAGTAGAATTTTGGCTCACAAGATTCCACTGCTTAGAGGGAGCATCGCTGCCAAGTTTGCCTTGAGAAAGGACCGAAACGGGATCTTAGCTGGCCTGTTGGAAGCACTGCCAATTGCTATGCTTGGAATAAATGTACACGAGAAGAAACTGATAAGGAAATAGCTAGAACTGAATTAGTTGTAGATTTTCCGGGCTGTACGGCCATGGTCTTGTTATTGTGGTACCTGACGTTTCACCAGCAGCTGTGACTGGCATCCTCAGAGATATTACACAAAAAGATGGAGTACTCTCTGTGTCAAGGTGAGAAGAAAAATGGTAGGCAGGTAATTTATATCTACTCAGGAAGGTGGGGTAGGGCTGAGTCATTATCTTGTAGGAGCAGGGGCCATTTCCTGCAGGAGCGCACAGGAGCGGAGCTCTGGCAGAAAAGAGCCCAGGGGCGGGCACATGCAACAAGCCCCACCCCCTGCTCCCAGCAGCCCTCAGTCAGAGCAAGAAGCAGCCAGGTAAGTTGCAGAGCTCCCCCCAGCCCCCCTCGGTCCAAAACAGTCCAGTGGCACCTTTAAGACCAAGTTTTATTCAGGTACAAGCTCTCCCTCCTCTGTGAGGACAGATCTGCACGTCCTCCCCCCCCCCCAATAGCTAGCAATCCGAAAAAGTCCAGTGGAGCCTGAGCGGTGGGTGTTGCCTTCTGACACACTTCCGGTGATGTCTGGGGGTATGGCATATGCAAATAAGTTATGCCAATGAGTTATGCTAATGAGCTCCTGCACCTCTTTGTCTACGGAATGACCCCTGTGTCGGAGTTCCCCAAGCTGTGAAAACATGCTAATGGAGGAGCTTTCCTGAGGAGGTTCTTTTGCATATGGACTGGCTGTTGAAATTCTAACCTTATTTGTAGTGCTATTGTCAGATGTAGAGCATTTTGTGTTTTTCAGGACAGGAACCCTATTTATTTTTAAACTCTCCTCTTTCCTGTTGCAATTGTGTTTATGTTTATGAATTTCAATGGCTTCCCTGTGTAATCTGGCATGGTAATTGGCATGACTACGTTATGTACTTAAAACATTTATCCATTATAACTTTTGCATGTATATGTTTACATGAATGTGTTTGGTAAACGATATAATTGGCCACAGACAGTTACACTGAGTAATTGTATCACGGCGTTATTTTGGTTCTTCCTAACTGCTTTCCCCATGATCTCTCGCATATTGCCAAGGCTATTTTGGGGCAGGAACGCACAGGAATGTAGTTCCGGCTGGCTCCTGAGTTGGCCACGCCCAGCAGGAACTCATTAGCATAATAGGCCACACCCAACAGCAGAAACTCATTAGGATTGGCTGCATTCGGGGTGTGTGGTCTAACATGCAAAGGGGTTCCTGCTACAAAAAAAAAGGCCCTGGGTTTTGACAACAAACAAGGTCAACAGAATAAGAAACAAAAGGTGGGTGTGGCTGGATGACCACACTTCTGGTGGCATGGGGGTGTGGCCTAATAGGCTAATGTGCTGTGCTGTCAGGGGTGTGGCCTACTATGCTAATGAGTGTCTGCTGATGGGTGTGGCCTGTTATGCTAATGAGGTCCTGCTGGGCCTTTTCTACAAAAAGAGCCCTGCGCTAAACGGAGTGGCTTGGAGCTCTCCTTGAATGACAACTGATCTCCCGATTCTTTAGAGCGCGGATTCTGAGATCCCTCCCCTTCCCCAAGCCCCAACCTTCACAGGCTCTACCCCCAAATCTCCCGAAACTTCCCCACCCGGAGCTGACAAGCCTAGATACACCCCGCAGGTGCAACGGGTATCTGTTTGCCCTCTCCCACCCTGGTCAACAACCTCGTTCTTGTCCTTCGCAGGTAAGCTGGACATCACCCCCGATGACCCGCGGTGGATCGGCGCATGGTGGGCGGGCTTCCTCCTCTGCGGTGCCTTGCTCTTCTTCTCCTCCCTCCTGATGTTTGGCTTCCCGCAGTCCCTGACCCGCCGGCCGGAGCACCTGGCCGAGGCCGAGGAAGCCATGCTCACGGACCAGGACTACGAAAGGCCCAAGCCGAGCAACGGGGTCCTCCGCCAACACTCCCTGGATGCGGAGGACGGCAGCTCTTGTCTCCAGCAGCTGAGAGGTGACACACTCCCCCCCCCCCCCTAGCATGGCTTCCGTGGGAGCCGACAGGTTAATGCCGAGTTAGATCCGTCACCTGACCCGGATTTGTGCGCCTCTTGTCGTTTCCGTGGGTCAGTCCCTCTTCAAACACCACGTGACTCAAGTGTACGTCAGATGTTACAGCTGCACGTACCAGGAAAATGTCTACCACGTGTAGATCCTTCCAATACGTCTGCTCGCTGTGTTGTGTGAACAGGGGACAGTGCGTGTCTTTACCAGCTCTGCGAAAAAGAGCAAAAAAGAGGAGCAGAGGTCCATCAGTGGCTGTTAGCCGTAAAGGATAGATGGAGCACTCTTCCTGGGGCAGTGATGCTCTGTCTTCTTGGTGCTTGGGGGGGCAACAGTGGGAGGGCGTCTGGAGTTCTGGCCCCACTGGTGGACCTCCTGGTGGCCCCTGGTGTTTTTGGCCCCTATGTGACACAGAGTGTTGGACTGGATGGGCCATTGGCCTGATCCAACATGGCTTCTCTTACGTTGTTATGTCTGGGGCAAGTGATGCTCTCTCTTCTTGGTGCTTGGAGGGGGGCAACAGTGGGAGGGCGTCTGGAGTTCTGGCCCCACTGCTGGACCTCCTGATGGCCCCTGGGTTTTGGCCACTGTGTGACATAGGATGCTGGGCTGGATGGGCCATGGCTTCACTTACGTTCTTATGTTCTTATTAGGAGAGATCTTTCTAAGAAACCACAAAAGGTACTGAGCCGTGTTTCCTCTAAGCAGAGTTAGTGTGAGCTAGCTCACAGTTTTTTAGCCTCCGGCTAACAAATTTTTATCTTGGCTCAGGAAGGAGGGCTCCAGAGCCAACTAATTTATACAGCAGCCAAATTGCTCACTCACAATTTTAATGTCAGTAGTTCATAAAGTAGAATTTTTGCTCACAAGGCTCCATAGCTTAGAGGGAACATTGGTACTGAGTCCCAGAGGTCACAAAAAGAAAGGAGGGGAAATTGTCCTGGATTGTTTAAAAACAAATTCTTATTATATACAGTGGAAACAATCCCAGTGAACAATTCCTGGATGTCCTGATAACAAAAAAATTTCAGACCGTCAATTTCTGTTTCTAATAGTGAGCTTTCTAGCTTCTTTTTGTTACATCCTTCCTTTTTCCCTCTGCTTTGACTCCACTAATTGGCTTATATTTTATTTGACACCAATTTATGATTTAAATGTTCTTTTGTTCTTCCATGATTGGCTGATATAAACAGTGAGTGCTGTTTTCTCCACTGTAATGAGTCTGCTTAGACGTTGTTATCGTGCATGTAGATGTTTTAGCTCTCGTCTTTTACAGGCAGTTCCCAACAGCTGCACAAGGCCAGACGTCAATAGGACGCCAACAGAAAAAATAGTTCTGACAAAGATATCAAAATGATGTCTTAATTATCCGGCAGGCCAGCAGTTCATTCTGTTCATTTGTTATTGGGACATTCAGAAATGGTTATACTTTACACACGCTACCCTTGATCTTAGCCAAAAGGCTGAGAAGCATTATATGTTACTCATTTAGAAATCAGATTCAGGTGGGTAGCAATGCTCCCTCTAAGCTCTGGAGTCCTGTGAGCAAAAATTCTACTTTGTGAGTGACCGGCATTAAAGTTGTGAGCACGTGATTTGGCTACAGCATAAATTAGTTTGCTCTGGAGCCAGCCTTCCTGAGTGAAGGCAGAAATGTGTGAGCCGGAGGCTAAAAAACTGTGAGCTAGCTCACACTAACTCAGCTTAGAGGGAACACTGATGGACAGGCGTGTTAGAATGAAGCGACAGAACAAAGTTTGAGTCCAATGGAACCTTTCAGACCATCAAAGTTTAATTCTGTGTATAAGCTTTCGTGTGCATGCATGTGAAAGCTTATACCCAGAATTATACTTAGTTGTTTTTAAAGGTGCCGCTGGACTCAAACTTTGTTTCATTTGGGAACTGTTATATTTTACCAGCTGTAGTACATGTATAAAGGCCACTGGGTTTTTCAGTGTTCATGCACACCGAGGCTGTACTTGCATGCTAAATATGCACATTGCCCCTGTTTGCACAATATGATGGCCTCACCTAGTGGAAGGATTGCCATAAGAACATAAGAGACGCCAATGTTGGATCAGGCCAAAGGCCCATCCAGTCCAACACTCTGTGTCACACAGGGGCCAGAAATACCAGGTGCCATCAGGAGGTCCACCAGTGGGGCCAGGACACCAGAAGCCCCTCCCACTGTTGACACCCCCCAAAAAACACACCAAGAATACAGAGCATCACTTGCCCCAGACATAAGAACATGAGAGAAGCCAGTGTTGGATCAGGCCAAAGGCCCATCCAGTCCAACACTCTGTGTCACACAGTGGCCAGAAATACCAGTGCCATCAGGAGGTCCACCAGTGGGGCCAGGACATTAGAAGCCCTCCCACTGTTGACCCCCCCCCCAAGCACCAAGAAGACAGAGCATCCCTTGCCCCAGAGCCCCTAGCTATACCTTGTGGCTAATAGCCACTGATGGACCTCTGCTCCATATGCTTATCTAATTCCCTTTTGAAGCCGTCCATGCTTGTAGCCGCCACCACTTCCTGTGGCAGTGAATTCCATGTGTTAATCACTCTTTGGGTGAAGAAGTCCTTCCTTTTATCTGTTCTAACCCGACCGCTCAGCAATTTCATGGAGTGCCCACGGGTTCTTGTATTGTGAGAAAGGGAGAAAAGTACCTCTTTCTCTACCTGCTCTTTCCCATGCATAATCTTATAAACCTCAATCATGTCACCCCTCAGTCGTCGTTTCTCCAAGCTAAAGAGCCCTAAGCGCCTTAACCTTTCCTCATAGGGAAAGTGTTCCAACCCTTTTATCATCCGAGTTGCCCTTTTCTGCACTTTGTTCAGAACTATAATATCCTTTTTAAGGTGTGGTGACCAGAACTGCACACAGTATTCCAAATGAGGTCGCACCATTGATTATAGGGGCATTATGATATTGGCTGATCTGTTTTCAATACCCTTCCTAATAATCCCCAGCATAGCATTGGCCTTTTTTATTGCAGTCACACACTGTCTTGACATTTTCAGTGAGTGATCTACTACAACTCCAAGATCTCTCTCTTGATCAGTCCCTGCCAGTTCAGACCCCATCAATGTGTATTTATATTTAATTTAGGATTTTTGGCTCCAATGTGCATCACCTTGCACTTGGCCACATTGAACCCCATTTGCCAGGTTGACGCCCACTTGCCCATCCTTGACAGATCCCTTTGGAGTGCCTCACAATCCTCACTGGTTTTCACCACCCTGAACAAAAAGTGAGCCAGAGCATACTACCTAAAATAGCAGCCCAACATGATCTTTGCAAACCAGTCCTTGGGCTAGAAGCAGACCATGAAAACAGACTCAGGCAGAGGGCATTCCGAAAGGAAGGGACCACCACTGAAAAGGCCCTGTTTCTGGTTGCCACCTGCCTAACTTCTTCAGGACGGAGCATAGAGCAGGCCCATAAGGGGGATCTTAGCAGGCTGGTGGGCTGGACAGCAAGAGAGGAAGCCATGTGTAAAGGATTCTGGCCCCAAGGGGTGGGGGGGGGTCTAGTGGGAGAAAAAAGCCAGGTTGCTGCGAGCTTCCCAGGCAAAGCTTTCGTGGCTGCTGCCAGGGGCTCCCATCAAGAGGAATTTGAAATGTTCCATGAAAACGGGGGTCTTTGAACCACAACGAGAGACAGGGAAAATCAAAGACAGAAGCAGCTTCTGGAAGAAGAAGAAGAAGAATTGAATTTATACCCCGCCCGTCACTACCTGAAGGCATCTCAGAGTGCCTTACAATCTCCTTTCCCTTCCCCTCCCCACAACAGACACCCTGTGAGGTAGGTGGGGCAGAGACAGCTCTCTTGAGAACTGCTCTTGAGAGAACAGCTCCGAGAGAACTTGTGACTGGCCCAAGGTCACGCCAGCAGCTGCATGTGGAAGTGTGGGGAATCAAACCTGATTCTCCCAGATTAGCGTCCGCACTCCTAACCACCAAACTGGCCTCTCTTTCTAGTATTCCCTTCCTCCAGGGAAGCAGAACCCCCTTGCTGAGGTATCTTCCTGGTCCTGACCAATGTTCCCTCTAAGCTCTGGAGTCTTGTGAGCAAAAATTCTACTGGCATTAAAGTTGTGAGTGAGCGATTTGGCTGCTGCATAAATTAGTTTGCTCTGGAGCCCTCCTTCCTGAGCTGAGGCAAAAATGTGTGAGCTAGAGGCTAAAAAACTGTGAGCTAGCTCACACTAACTCAGCTTAGAGGGAACACTGGTCCTGACCCTTTTAGGGTTTGGGGGTGAACACTTAAGACATCCTCCATCCATGTTGTGGACAGCAACCAGATGCAGGGCCTCTTCAGTGGCTGCACCTCACCTGCGAAACTCCCTTCACCCTCAAAGCTCACCTGGCACCTCCTGCCCTCTGTTTTAGGCACCGGGACCAAACATTTCTTTTAGTCCAGGCTTTTCATGAAGGGATTTTGCTTCAAAATAATATTTTAAGAGTCAGTTCCTAGCCAGAGGATTGGTTTATGGGGGTCATTTCAGGACAGTAAATGTTTTGTGCTGTTCTGGGTGGATTTTTAATGCTGGGTTTTGAAGTTCTTTATTCTAGGGTTGCCAACCTCCAGGTGAGCCCGGGGGATCTCCTAGAATTACAACTCTTCTCCAGACTACAGATAGGCTCCCCTGGAGAAAACGACAGCTTTGGAGGGTGGAGTTCATGGTTTCGCAGTCCGGCTGAGCTCATTCTCTTCCTCTGGCTCCACCCCTAGATCTCCAGGAATTTTCCAACCTGGGCTTGGCAACCCTAATTTATTCTTTCTTAACAACTGGGGGGTTTTTTTTGATAAGTTTTTATTTGATTTTCCCTACTGTATAAGACCTTTAGGAAGGGAAAGACAAGGGGAATGGGATAAGACGTATAGGAAAAGTTTCCGTTAGGCTTCTATAAGAGCTGTCACAAAACAGTTTACATCATAAAT